CCCCAAGAATCCCCAAAAGAGGCCCCAAACGGCCCCCAAAAGGCCCCAAGAGGCCACGAACGCGCAAGCAAACGCCTGCGATGGCACAATACGGACCACCGCAATGAGCGAAGCGATCCGCCGCCCCACTGGGTACGGCGTGTGAGATCCACAGCATGGTCTTCAATAGTGCTATGTGTAAGTCTTCTCTCCAGCGCGTTTTTCATACCTACCCCCTGCCTCTGAGCCCTCGCAACCACTCCTAGGGTCCTCCCTGCGCCTCGCTCATTCAGCCGGCCCAGGGGCCCCGGCTGCGGCCGGGGCAACGCCGCCATTTCCGCCCCAAGACGACCCCCATTTCACGTGCCAGCCTTCCAGGCGCCGCCAGGCGATCTCAGAGACCTTTCCAGGAGCCCACTGGGTGGGACCGCTTGTGGGGCCTCCCGAGGCTCTCCTGGGCTAATTGTCACCCTCCTTCAGGCCACTGTGAGCCGTGTCAGATGCCTTTCCACCTTTCCACCTCTTTTCGAGCCACAGACACAAGAACACCCCAACAAGCAAAACTCATAGTAAAACACAAAAGATGTTGATAATTCTGGCCTGCTCGCACTTCTCCTTGCGCCTCTCTCGGAGCTCCCGTACATCTCCGCTGGCTCTTGCGGTCATCTTAGAACCCGGGCATGCTCACTACGACCGTCCTGACAGCCTCTCGGACCCATCTTGGGCCATCTGGCCGCCTTCTTGGCGCCGTATGTCGCCCATCTGAGGCGCCCACTTAGAGCCTCCAGGGGCTCTTCCAGGAGCCGCAAACAAGCCCGGACTGCGTTTTTCCATTCCTGTTTTCATCGTTCACCCCAAGTCGCCGCACTTGACACATTCAGGCTTCTTTTTGGGCCCCTCCAGAGGTCCCCCTGGGACAATTGTTTTGAGCTTATCCAGCCTCTCGGCAGCCGTCCTAGCCTCAGGGTCATGTGAAAGACACTCCTCGGTGCGCTGTCTTGGACGAACCAGATGGTTTTGCCAATTCCTCCAGCCTCTCTGCGGCCGTCCTGGCCTAAGGGTCATACGACACAGAGCTCGCCGCTTTCAGTTCCTCCAGCCTCTGTGCAGCCGTCCTGGGCTCACGGTCATACGAAAGAGAGCTCGATGAAGAGCCCAATGTCCTCTCCATAGAGCCCCACGAGGCCTCCAAGCGGAAGCACCAGCACCAGCACCAGAACATCTCCTATTCACGCGCGAGGAGCGGCCGTCGCTCCCACAGAATCTCCAGGATCCAAAAATGGTGGGGCGGCGGTGTCTGCACCCTCGGGGGCGATCAATAATATACAGCGACCGATGGCTCAAGATGCTACGAGGTTATCACAGGCGCCCAGCAGACCCAAAAGCAATCAGGAAACCTCACAAGACCTCCAACAGTCCCCGAAGAGACATCGCAAGAGACCCCTGGAGGCATCCATGGGGACTCTGACCCACAATCCAGGCACGGTGGCGGGACGATCCGAAAACCTCTAGATGCAACGAACATCGAAGAACACACAACTGCATAAGCATGAATTTGCGGAAGTCCGCATGGATCTCTTGGACCGGCGCTGGACACCCTGTCCTGGCGCGCAGAGCGCGCCAAAGGAGCCCAGCGCCGACCCAAGAATTATAGAAATCCCTGGTTGATGGAGCCAGTGCTGGGCTTGGTTGATTTGGAGGTCCTCTGATCCATGTCCTCCTCATCCTCCTCTTCCTCCCTCTCCCCTCCTCCCTCCTCCCTCCTCTGGCCAACCCTCCCTCCATCTCCCTCCTCCCTTCTCCTCCTATCCTTGTTGTTCGATTCAGCCGATGTTTTGACCCAAATGAGGGCGAGCTGTCAACGCACATGAACGGAAAACGAGAAACGTTATCATGACCCATCTCAAGAAAATGCGCCTGCTGAAAGGGTCGAGGAGAAGGACAAGGAGGAGGAGGAGGAGGCAAAATGAGGAGGATGGGGCGGAAAATGCTTGTGACAATGGCGAGCAGAACTGCCGTCATCTGCGGCTCGAGATAACCGAAGATCCCCTACCGAAAAAACTAATCTCAGTGCTAGCTGGTCGAAAAAACAAACGAGGGAAGCGGAAGATGAGGATGTTGGGCGAGAGGTGCCGGCGATGATGGCGAACAACAGGACTAGGACGAAAATGAGCGAGGGTGAGGTGAGGGGAAGACGAGGAACTGCCCCCCGCCACCACAGGGGACTGGACAGTTTCCTGCGTCAAGCAGTGAGGACAGGGCCACTGCCACATCTCCTGCAGAGGAGGAGGCCCTCGCAGGAAATCTGGGCGTCGAGGGAACGGCCCGGCGGCGCGAAACGTGGGGCACGATTGAGGAAGCTCGGGGCTCCAGAGGAACAATCAACGTCACAGACCTGAACAGGCGGAGGTCCGCGACGACCCAAGAAATCCGCACGGGCCTCCGAACCTGTACCTTCATGTACTGTAGTTATTCTAATATTCGAAGCTCGCCCAAAGTGACCCCTCGAACCCGAATGCAAGCCTTGAACCTCACCGTGTCGGTGCCGACCACGTCAGTCTTGACGTCGTAGACGGTGACGACAGCCGGATGCGACTCGAGGCGCTGGACAAGCGCCTCTGCGGGTCTGGCGCGAGCAGAAGACCCACCATCAGAGCCAAATGTCAGGAGACGTTCATGAAAATCCGACGTCTTGTCGTTGTTGTCTAAGCAGTCCACAGAAGTCCCGACCCTTTCCTCCCTGGGGCCAATTTTCAACCCTGGGTAGTCCTTGTCCCAACCATCTTGTGGTGTTGGGTCCTCGTTATGAAGAGACAGCGCCGGCGTCCACTCACTCCTCACTCACTCCTCCTCCCCTTCCTCCTTCCTCCGATTCCTTCATCTGCTCTCACGCGTGCCGTCATCACAATCAGCATCGTCATCATCATCGCCATCGCCATCATCCACATCATCATTGGCATCGTGCATCTGCCCTCCGCATGTCAGTGCCGGGACACCTCTCACAGGCGTCGTGGCCCCATCGGGATCTCCACATGAACCCCCAATGGGTGTGGCCACATGCGCCCACCGCACCCATTTCGGCACATCCTTCACGCGATGCGTGGCCATAAATGGAGCTCCACTGAAGGCCCCAGTGGCAGGGCCCACACGCATCCCCACGCGCACTTCGGCTCGTGGCCCCATAGAGAGCTCCACCGAAGGCACCAGTGACAGGGTCCTCATGCGTCCCCACGCCCATTTGGGCACACCCTTCACTTGCTTCGTGGCCCCATGTGCCCCAGCTGCAGGGTCCGCATGCGTCCCCAGGCCCATTTCGGCACACCCCTCAAACGCTTCTTGGCCCCACGAGCAGCCTCACCGACACCCTCAGTGGCAGGGTCCGCATGCATCCTCCCGCGCATTCTAGCATACTCTCACACGCTTCGTGGCCCCACAAGGAGCTCCACCGAAGACCGCAATGGCAGGGTCCGCATGCGTCCCCCCGCCAATTGCGGCGCACACCTCACACGCTTCGTGGTCCAGAGCTCCACCGAAAGTCCCAGTGGCAGGGTCCGCATGCGTCCCCCGCTCATTTCGACACACCCCTTACACGCTTCGTGGCCCTATAAGGAGCGCCACCGAAGGCCTTAAGGGCAGGGTCCGCTTGCATCCCCCCGTCGGCACACCCCTCACACGCTTCGCGACCCTGTAGCGAGCTGCACCGAAGGCCCCAGTGGCAGGCTCCGCATGCGCCCCGCCGCCCATTCGGCACACCCCTCACACGGTGCTTGGCCTTTTATGGGAGCTCCACCGAAGGCTCTAGTGGCGGTGTTTGCACCCGTCCCTGCCACCCAGTCGGCACACCCCTCGCACGTTTCGTACCCCCATGGGGGGGCTCCACCGAAGACGACGCTCAGAATTGCATTAGCCACAATTGCATATAGTTGGGTCCTTCGCCAGGCGAATTACAACCCGGGGGTCCCGTTGAGGGCCCTAGAAGCCGAAAACAGCAAAAGACCTCCATCTACGCCGGATGCCTGGGTCTCAGGCATAGGCTTCCAGACCGCCTCGCTGGAAACAAACCATAACACTCCAGGCTGGAGACTCCAGCCCCTGGGGGATGGGACCGAAAGCGTTCAGCTCAGACACTCGAGGCGCCTTCAAAAAGGGTGCGGTGACCATCTGAGGGGTATATGAACCTTTATGGAGCCAAGGGCCCGGAGATCCGATGTATTATTTCCCAACGCTCCTGTGTTGGGTCGCGACTCCTCCTCCCGCGAACCTCCTCCTCCTCCTGCATCCTCCTGCGCTGCTCCCTGGGTGGCTGCAAGCTGCGCAACTGTCGCCACTTTCGTTGGCTCCTGGGTGGTCCAGCGGAGTCGGAGAGTATGCGGATCCAGACGGGACCGCGCTGCTCCCTGGGTGGCAACGAACTGCGCAAGTGTCGCCACTTTCGTGGGCTCCTGGGATGTCCAACGGAGTCGAGGGGTAATTACACGCTTCCAGACGGGGCTGCGAACTGCACAGCTGTCGCCACTTTCGTGGGCTCCTGGGAGGTTCAGCGGAGTCGTGGGGGTACGCGCATCCAGACGGGACCTCGCTGCTCCCCGGGTGGCTGACTGCAAACTGCGTATTTGTCTCTCAATGCTTGTGGGCTCCTGGGAGATCCAGCGGAGTCGTGGTGTGGTGTACGCGCATCTATACGGGACGTCGCTGCTCCTTGCAGGGTGACTGCGAACTGCGCAACTGCCGCCACGTTCGTGGGCTCCTGGGAGGCACGGCTGAGTAGGGGAGTGCGCGGACCAAGATGGGAACTGCCCTACTGTCGCCACTTTCGTGGGCTCCTGGGATGTCCAGCGGAATCAGGGAATGCGCGTATCCAAACAGGACCTCGCTGCTCCCTGGTTGCCTACGAACTGCACAACTGTCGCCACTTTCGTGAGCTCCTCGAAGGTCCAGCGGAAAGGGGAGTACGCGGATCCAGACGGGAGCTCGCAGCTCGGTCGGCAAGCGAACCCCAGACTTTCTCTAAGCGAACCCCGGATTCCCAGACAAGCGACACCCGGAACCAATGCCGGCAAAACCTAGAATCGGGAAGTCAAACCAGGAATCCATTCCGGTCCAAACCCGGCATCCCTTGTGCCCAAAATTGTGATTCCACGCCCGGAAAGAGAATTTCAAGAGAGCCGCAAGGTCTCGACGAGGTTTCACCCCACTCCGCTGGACCTCCAAGGAGCCCACGTGAGCGTCGACAACTGCGCAGTTCGCAGACCCCCTGGGAGCCGCGATATCTCTACGAGACTTGCATACCGCCCCAGCCCTCGAAATAATCGACCGACACTTGCATCATTCGCAGCGCTGACAACAGTTTGCGCGTGACAACCCACTCGGCTGGACCTCCCGGGAGCCCACGAAAATTACGATAACAGCGCAGTGCTTTACACCGATGTTTCAATCGCTTTCCACTGGACGTCCTGACTTTGAGAAATTCCGCAGGCCTGCGCGGGCCGATGGGCGCGCGGAGCGGCCACGCCATGGGGCGAAGAGAAACTGCTCCGCTCGACGTGCCACGCGGTCGCGCACGGGAAGCGAAACAACACTGCTACTCTGCTCTACTCGTTGCGTGGCAACGCCGAGGTGCGGACGAGAAGTGCGATTCCCATCCTACTCGCCACGTGGCAACGCCTGGGGGGGGGGGGGGGGGCAACAAATAACACTCCACTCTGCTCGCCACGTGGTGACGCTCTGGGGGCGAAAAGATTTCCACTCTACTCCGGGCCTGGGAACGCCGCGGAGAGGAACAGCCAGCATTCCACTCCACTCGCCGCGTGGGCAAGAAAAATGCCTCACTCGCTGCCCTGATTGTGCTTGCGGTCATCTGCGCGGAACGGTCGCACAGTCAATTCTAGGGCAGGCCTGCGCGGGCCGATGGGCGCGCAAAGCGGCAACGCCCCCGCACAAAAAAAACTGCTCCCTTCGACACGTCGCGCGGCAACGCACTGGGGGCGAAACAGAACTACGACTCCACTCTGCTCGTCACGTGACAACCCCGGGGGGCGGACAAACGTACGAACCCACTCCTGCTGGCCACGTGGCAACGCCGGGGGGGGGGAGCGAAGGCAACATCCTCTCTACCCTGGGCGTGGCAACGCCGCGGGCAGGAACAGGTCGCATTCCACTCCGCTCGCCGCGTGGCGACGCCGCGAGGGAGGGGGGCGCACAACAGTGCTCCGCTCGATCCCCCCGCTCTTTGAGACCCTCCGCGCGGGTCGGCCGCACCGACACGCTCAGAGCTCTGAGTTCTGGGGCGGGTCTGCGCGGGCCCGGGGGCGGAGCGGCAACGCCACGGGGCGCGAAGAAACTGCTCCGCCCGACGCGCAACGCGGCAACGCGCGGGGGGCGAAACCAAACGACGACTCCACTCGACTCGGCACGTGGTAGCGGGATCCCCGAAGTCCCGACCCCTTCACTCGAGCCAGTTGTTCGTCCTGGGTCGTTGTCTGACGAGCCAGGGGCCCGTCGATGACCTCGGGAGAGCGAAAACGCGGAAACAACTCTTGTCGCAATCCCTTCACGACGTCGGAGATCTGGCCCCCCCGCATCGATCCTGAGCTGCCTTCTGACGGAAACTCGAGGGGAAGCCGACTGTGGCCAACGAGAACGCCCCACGAGACAGCAATGCCCGGCCGCGGGCGGGCGCGAGCGGGAGCCCGCAAAACGCGCGAGCACGCAGTCGTCGTCGGCATTGTCCTCCGTCGTCGTCCGTTGTCGCCGAGGGGCTGCGGAGAGGAAGCACAGAGGGCGAGAAGAAATGATGGGGAAGAGAAAGGAAGACGAATTCCCGTTTTAACCGATCGGAATACCGGCGTTCGAGGCTCCTAGGAAACGGAGAGTACGCGGACCCAGGCGGGACCGCGCTGCTCCCTGCAGGGTGGCTGCGAACTGCGCAACCGTCGCCACGTTCGTGGGCTCCTGGGAGGCCAAGCGGCGTCGGCGAATATGCGGACCCAATCGGGACCTCGCAACTCCCTGGGTGGCTGCGAACTGCGCAACCGTCGTCACTTTCGTGGGCTCCTGGGAGGCACGGCTGGGTGGGTGAATACGCAAACCCAGACGGGACAGCGCAGCTACCTGGGTGGATCCGAAGTGCGCAACTGTCGCCACTTTCGTGGGCTCCTGGGAGGTCCAGTGGAGTCGGGGAGTATGTGCATCCAGGCGGGACCAGGGCACCCAGGCTCCGAGTGTCCGATTGGCGATGAATCGTCGATGGGGGGGGGCCATGATTCGCCCCCTGGGCTGGCCTTCACGCGCCAGCTGGGCAGCGTGCAACCGAGCAGCGCCTGCCCGGACCGGAGCATCAGGAAGCGGCTGAGCCCAGTCACCTCCCTCCCTGATGGGGTTGGCTGGGCGCTGCTCACCTCTCCCTTCTCAGCGCCACCCTGGATGGGTTCTCGGTGCACGGGGGCCCTGATCGGCGCAGGAAGTTGGCGCTTTCCTGCCAGTGCTACCTACACCACCAGGTGCAAACTGGCGCTTTCCTGAAGCTTGCCGCTACTGGGTGCCCGTCTTGGTGGTGCTGACCTTCGCGCCGCCGCGGCGGCCGCTGGGACCCGTCTTGCCCCGAAATCCCAGAGGATTTGATGTTTCGTGTTCTTTGTGTTGGGCTGGGAATCGCGTCATAGCTCAATTGGCTCAGGCTTCTTGTGGTCCAGGATACCCAACAAACTCGGCCCTTCGCACTCGGCCATTCGCCTCTGGCCGCGTGGACGGAATCGTTATCATTACTTCTCGGTCCTCTGATCTGTCCCCCTCTCCACTGCTCTCACCTGACTGCCGTCACTCTTCACAAGAAGCGGCCCGCAGAAGAGAGAAGAACACCGAGAACAAAAATTGTCTGAGGTCAGCGCAGGTCTCTTGGAACTGCGCTGGACCACGCTCCCTGACGAACGGAGGGTGCCACAGGCACCACCGCAGATCCCCAAGAGACATCCAAGGGGACTCTGGAACACAACGAAGGTACGCGGTCAAACTGTACCGTCACAATGTGTCACGACGCGAGGGGGTCTGGGACTAGTGGCTTTCGGACCATAGCGCGGGCCTGAGGCGGCCGTTCGGGACAATTCAGGTACCCACATAGCGATTTCGGCGAGGCGCAGCGCAGCTGCCAGAAAGCATCCCGAGGCGAACAAATCTCCAAAAGGCAACGCAATCTTCGGAGACTCCAGCCTCCAGCCTAGGCACCGCGACAGAATGGGCACAGGACCACAAGATATACACTGTGCAATCAAGTCTGTCGAACGGAACTTCAGAGAGCACACGGACCGCCCTCGGGGATGCCCAGCCACATCAATTCTCAATCCATCGACGCCACGCGCGGGGATCGGCACAGCGCCAATGGAGCTCGATCGAGTCACGCGCGACACGATGAACGCGCAATCGAAATCGATCGATCCACGTGCAATCAGAATCGATCGAATCCGAGCCGCACCGATGTCCGTGCCACAGCGCGGTCCACAGAAGGGCAATTATAGGCAATTATAGGCTTTTGCACCGTAGCTTCCGGCGCCGCCTTTGATCTCCTCCACCAACCTCCTGCCTGACTTGCCTTCCCACCCGACGACTCCTCCCCTCTCCCTGGCTCTGACTCCTCCGCCCACCCCTGGATATTCTTCCCTCTGCCATCGCCATCGTCCACCCTGCTCGGCTCCTCCCTTCCTCCCTGCTGATCCTCCTTCTGTTCCCGGGATCATCACCATCGAATCGGATCGGATCGGATCGGAACGTGTGTCCTGTCGGGCTGCATCGGCACGGAGTCGGAATCGGATCGGATCGGCTGCGCAAAAATGCGTAACTACCCCGTGCAAACATCTGGTCAAATCGGAACGTCGCGGCACAGGAATCGAGTCGGATAGAGCCGGCCATCATCGATATCGAATCGGACCGGTCGGATCGCGATGGACCCTGAGGAGAAGCGGCTTTCGAGCCATATCCATGTCCTCTGGCCGCCGTTTGGGAGGATCTGGGCATCCCCAGAACGCTCTCGGCTGAACGCATTCCGAGGCAGGAAAACCTCCAGGAGGCAGCCGAGTTCCATGAATCGGGGAAAGCTCCCCCTGATTTGGCGACGGAGGGCGTCGAGCTTGAAGCGCGTCGATATTGCAGGGACACGGGACCCGTCGCTTGTCTACGCGCCTTGCACCATGTTTGCGCTGCCTCTAGAGGAGAGCCCTGTCTTGCCCGCATGTGCTCCCCCGCAGTACCATAGCCGCCATGAGGATCGAGGCCACGACGTCGGGCGCCCCGCTCTGCAAGAGGTACGACGCGCCTGCGCCCGGACGGTCTCGGCAAAACCATCGTGCCACTGCGATGGGCCAGCGTGCTGCAACGCCCAATCCGCCCTGTACAACCAAGCTGCTGCCACACGGAATGCCGAACCATGAGCGAGGCCCATTTTTGGCCCAAGAGACGCCCTGGGTGCACGACGAGCGCTAGAGGAACAACCGTGAAGGATATGAGGCACAGCGCCCCCCCTCCGAGCCCGAACTGGCCAATACTCCGCACTTATCGTTCAACCTTGAACGATCCGCTGCGTTTCGAGGTTGGCCTATTCTGAACCACTGGCGGCGTTCAATCTCGAACGCCCGCGGTGGGGTCGCCGCCGCGCCGACAGGACGCGAACCTGCAATGCATGCACACCCTCCGCGGTCCCGCCTGCACGAGTGGACAGGTCCAAAAATAGACCAGCGAAAGCTGACCGCGTACGTGTACATATGCTGTCAGAGTCTGGCATGAGGAGATCCGAACAAGGAACCGAGGAGCGTTCCTGGCCGCGATGAGCCTCGGCCAGAAAAACATAACGCCTGCTGACCCCGAAGCAGCCCTGTTGTCAGCGCCTTGACCGTAGCCACGCGCCTCTCCTCACCGTCCGACCCATAGGAGCCTAAAGCAAAGGACTTGTAAGCCGACACGCGCAACACCCCTCAACGCGGCTGAGTGAAGGGTGCAGTGTTCCGCGGTGCTGTGCGGTGTTGCTCAGAGCTGTGAGGTGTTGGTTTGTGTTGAGCGGTTGTCTTGCTCTGGCCAACTGTGAACTCTTATGTCCAAGAGGCTCCTACGAATCGGACATGTAAACCTCCCCACAACGCCGATTCTACGAATCATATCACCGCTGTAGCGGGAGCGCGAGATACATCAGCATCGGGTCGGAACATCAGATCGGATCGGACAATGTGTCAGATCGGGTTGGATGGCATGGGGCTGAATAGAATCAGATCGGCCGCACACGGATGCACAACAACGACATACGAACATCGGGCCGCATCGGATCATCTGAATAACGGAATCGAATCGGTTCTGGACGGCGGCCATCGATATCGAATCGGATCGATCGCGCCGGAAGAAAACATCCATGGCGATGCTCCGTGACGACGTCCGGGCCCACAAAAACGAGGGACTGTAGCTTGGGGGGATCCGCTTGCAGCGACGCTTTGATAACCTTCGCCTTTGGCAGAGGGGACGCGGGAACGACAAGGCAAGGTCTTGCGGCATGCACCTGCCGCCAGTGCATGCAATTTCAACGCATAGCGACCGAGTCCCATGAACAATCATCAGAGGGAAGAGCCTCTGCAACATGTGAATTACATGACACTTGTGAGTTGGGGTGTCCACTGGCGGAACATCAGTCTGGAGAGCCACCAGAATGGAACGTTGGCAAGCAAGGGCAATGTTGAACTGCGACGGGCGGATGACGTTCGGATTATTTCCTGACATTGTACATGCGTCGTTCCTTCTGCTGCACATGCAGGGCAATGCAAGCTGTACTGAATCAACCATCCTGCGATCCCTAAGCAACCAAAATCCATCAACCCGCTTTGGAGCGGCGAGCGTACGTTTAAAGTTCCTATTGATCGAGCAACCGCCCTCCATCGAACAGGTGCCAAATGTCACATTCATCGCTTTCGCTTGGCAAAGAACATGCGTGAAACAACGTAGGGCACGTCAACATCGAATCGGAAACACTCTTCGAATCACAGTGTGCATCGAGTCGGGCTGCGGATCGGCTGCGCCAAGATTCAACAACGCCATTCGAACATCGGGCCGCACCGGACAATCGGAGTGTCGGATTCGAATCGAGTCAGGCTGGCCGAAATCAATCTCGAATCCACCACCGGGCCTGCACGATGTGGGCGTGCCAGAATGCCAGGTTCTGCGCCGTATGATTCTTGTTCAAAGTAACGGGCCCCCATCCCATACTCGCGAGCAATTGCATACACCTCCCTGACTACCTACCAGACCACCCCAACCCAACCCGAAGACCCGAATTTCGGGTTGGGGGGGGTAAGGGTTCCACATGTGTTTTTTCGATGTTTCCCGACCCCCCCCCACTGGAAATCGAGGGTAAATCTGAGCCTTCGGGTTGGGTTGGGGTGATTTGGTGGGTGGTGAGATCTCCAACAGGAGCCTAGGAAACAACAAGCATTGATTTCTATTTGGTGGTTGAAAAGTGTTCGCACTATCGCCTGTTCAGGCTTCCGCCAGCTCAAGAGGCCCTCACGAGGGTCGAATGAGGGCCCAAGCAGACCCCACGAGGGCCCAAGAAGCATCCAAGACGGCCTCAAGACGGCCTCCCGTGGGACCCAAGACGGCCTTAGAAGGCCCGTCGACTGCCCAAGACGGCCCCAGGCACCTCCCGCACTGCCAGGAATGCCCCAAGACGGCCCAAGAGAGCCCCAAGGCGGCCCAAAAGTGCCCAAATATGGCCCCGACGAACCCCCAAGCCCAAGACTGCCTAACAGGAGGGCATGCTGGCCACAAGACGACCCAAACAAATATCATGAACGCTCTTCAAATAGTGTACTCGAAACATGTCACGTGTGACGGCCTTCCTCTTCCTCCTCCTCCCCCTCATCATCATCAGGGCTCCCTCAAGTCTGGAGACACGGAAGGTCACACGTGACGTCCTCCCGTGCAATCTCGATCGAACAGTCGACACCCAACATGCAGGGCTGGCAGGCTGGCGGGACTTGCAGCAAGCAGCTGGATATAATCGATCAGATCGACAGTGACCGTGCCAAAGAATCCCCAACTGCACAATGGCAGGTAATCTATGCTGAATATGGTTGAGCCCACCCGCTCTCATGATCCTCTCATGTAACAGCAGCGGTGTTAGGACGAATCACGCTCAGCTGGCCAACAAGACCACGAGGGCCCAGCCACGGGCGTCGGTGGCCATGAGAGAACATGAGCAAACAGAGCCACCGGTGAGTTCAGAGGGTCGGAGACAACAGACAAAACTCATGTTGTAAAAGAACTGTGCTCAAGATGTCTCCAGCACGCCTCAGGGCCGGGACTCACCAGATGCCTTCCCAGAGGCAGCGAATACATCCCAGGGGGAAGGGGCAGGGGCAAGACAGCGTCAACACAACTAATGACAACTCCAAGACAACTCAAATACAGTCAGAGACAAACCTAAAACGGCTCCAACGCAGCCCGCGGCCGGCCCAGACGACCCAATACCCCCGAGGCTGCCCGGAGATCTCCCAAGACAAACCAGAGGCCGCCAACAAGCCCCCAGGAGGCCCCTCAAGGCGGGAGGCCTCAAGGACTATCCCCAGAGACCCACAAGAGAGGCCGAAGAGGGAAACGCGTTCTCATGTTCTTTACTTCTGTCGCGTGATCATTGACTGGTCATCTCTCTTGTCTCCTGGGCCCTGTCCCCACCACTGCTGCCTGCAAGGGGGCCCACCGAGGCCCCCCCAAAAAATGCTCGGACGGGGCTCAGACTACTGTCCGCTCTGCGACGGCACCGCACGGCGAGGTTTGGCCTCGAGGGTTCGTGCGTAGCCCCAGGAAGCTCAGAAGAAGGCCAAAGATGGTTCCAAGATGCCTCCAGGATGGCCCAGGATCGCCCCAAGAGGCCCCGATGACGCCTCACAAGAGGACCCAGTCTCTAGAGGCGAACCACAAGCGTTTCCCCTTAGGTTGTTGAAAGATGTGTGCGGTCTCGCAGCGCAGGAGGGCCCTAAGATGGCCCAAGAAGCGCCCCAGGCACTCCCAAGACGGCCAAAGTGTGTCTCAAGGCTGCCGAAGACACTCCCAAGACGGCCCTAGAGGGTCTCAATAGGGCCTAGAGGTGCCCTTCAAACAGCCTCTGACGGCACCAAGCGACGCAAGAGTGCCCGAAGACGGCCCAATATGCCCCCTGGCCCCCCAAACGTCCCCAAGCATGATGGCCCCAACGTGCTCCAAAATAGCCGCAACTGGCTCAGCCTCGGGGACCGGCAGCAGAGGGCGCAGCCCTCCACTACCGTGCTTTCGCACGTAGCGCAGTGCCCCCAAGGCCCATGCAGCCCTGAGAGGTAAAGAAGAGTCGCGGGTTCCCAAGGGCATGGACCACCAACGTTGAACTCTTTGGCGCTTCCTGGTTTCGCGCGTCGGCCGCCTCGCCCACGAAGGCCCCAAAGAGGGCCAAGCGGGCCCGAGGAAGCCCCCTAGGCAGGGGCCTTTAATGAACCAACTCCGGCTGTTGCTTCCATTGGAGGCGAAACAGGGCAGTTGCGAGCGTGACTCGCGCCTTCGAGAACGACCGAACCGAACCTCCTCCTTGTCCTCCTTATCATCCCGTTCCTGATCCTCCCCCTCATCCTTCCGCGAATGTTCCTCGAAGAGTTTCCAAAACGGCTGGGCGAATACATAATCTACTAACTTGGCCAAACTCCCGTCAAACGTTTGGCCACAGAGGTACGTCTCATCAAGGCATGGGGTAGAAAAGATTCGCCGTATGCATTTTCGATCCGCCGCACCCGCTTGACTTATCACAAGGCTGCCTGGCATACCGAATATTTGAACGGTTGAAAACCTGTTTCAAATATTCTCAATGGGGTCTCGGCTGATCCCGCCAGCCACCCGAAGAGTCTCATAAGCTTCCTGGGTCGTTGGTCTTCCTGCTCCAGGCGGCCTCAGGATCGCCTCAAAGAAGGCCTAATTGGTCTCCAGGAAGACTGCGATGGCCCAAAGGGAGCCCAAAATAGCCCCAAGATGTCGCCAAGACACCCCGAGATGCTCCCATAGTATCTCAAGATGGGCCCAAGACGGCCCGAGACGGTTGAAGATGGCCTAAGAGGACCTCCAGAAGGCCAAAATCATTGATGCTCCACAGTTGCACTTATTTCAATCTTCACGCACAGTCGGGATTCGGACGTTCCAAGACCGCCCAAACGGGCCCTACGAACGTCCCAAGACGGCCCAAGAGGCCCTCAAGACGGCCCAAGAGAACCCCAAGACGGCCCAAGAAGAATCCAAAACGGCACCATAGTTCTCCAAGACGGCCCTTAAGCGCCTCAAACCCACGACTGACCCTTAGAGGCCTCAAAGGCGCTCCAGGACGCCTCCAAGAGGCCAGAGGAGGCCCCTCAGAGCTTCCCAAGAGGCTCCCAGGAAGCCCCTACGAGGCCTTTGAGCAACTCTTCCCCGGGCCGGGCGATGTGCCTAAGACTTTCCCTACACTTTAGGATTCTGACGCTTGAAATTTGAAACAGGGCGGGTGGTGTTCACAATGTGGATCTCGCTTTAGCGCCACGCACATTCGCCTCAAAAGCTGGCAGCAGCTTGCAGCATGGCGGGCGGCTCCCTTTTCAAGATGCGGCTCTCGCCCTCGCGCCGCGCGCACTCATCGTAAGAGTTCACAAAAGGGTTAAGGATTCGTATCGCGTCGGGCGAAAGGGGGGGATAGCAAAGGGGGGGTTTGAGAATCAGCTCACGTAGCTGATTTTCCCGGCGCCTCCCGGCGCCGGAGGCGGCCATGTATCGAGGAATGGGCCCCTCGGTGAGGCCGAAACCAGCTGCATGCAGCAAATTTCGTAACCCCCCCTTTCCCAATCCCCCCCTTTCGCCCGACCCGATCGTAGGGCTGAACTCACTGGAACACGGTTCTGAAACGATTTAGGATTTAGGACTGCCAGGGCGCAACAGCCAAGTTGATTTGCGGTGTTGACCTCAGAGGCGTGGCGTTCTGGCACGATTGAGAACTGCCAGGAAACAGCAGTTACCCTGGTTCGCAGCCCGACGGGGGCCTGGAAGTGCGTGTTGGCACAATCGGAGATTCTTAGACGGGGGCGTCTCAATGGGGCCCTTCCGGCAACGACGACAAACTCTTGGCGGGTGGATATGTGTTGAAACATCGTAGATGCATCTTGAGTTGGCACTTATCCTCTTCCTTCTCCTCCTTCTCCTCCGTCACCTCCATCTCATCATCCTTCCTCGTCTTCTCCCACGTGTTCCCGAAGGGATTCCACAACAGCTGGAGGAACACATAGTCCAATAGTCCAATGGGCCAAACTTCGGCCCAACGTTTGGCCACACAGGTTCCATAAGGCAAAGGACAGCGGAGATTCGCCGCATGCGTCGTCAATAACCGCGCACCACTCTAGCCCTGCATCACATAACTGTTGCTACGCTGCTGCCCGTTGTGTGGAAGCGGATGTGCGCGGCAGCGCAAGCGGATGCCAGACAACGTGGGACGATCGCGTCGACCTGTTGTCAGAGTTCGCTGTGCCATACCCCGAATCATAAGCGACAGCCAAACTGCACACTGAGCACAGTCAATGCCGAGCCTCAGTGCGCGGATGCGCCCCCTGTCTGCTCCATTGCCACGTCGATGAGGTCTTCGTCCTCCAGCCCCAGCTTCTCAGCAGTGTCGTCCGGAGCGATGCGTTCGCCGTCGACCATGAAGCGAACCTGTGAAGCCTGGAGGCCCAGCCGGCTGCAGTACGCGTCCATCAGCTTACGGAGCGGAGTGGACTTCTTGATCTTGAACTGAACCTCGCTCCCCTGCTGGTCCTTCACCTTCAGCTGAATGTGGCCGGCGGCTCCTTCACCACCCTCGGCCATCGCTCGAGCTGAGTGCAGACGGCAAGGCGACAGACTCTGGGGGCACGAGCCAGAGCGCCTGTTGGGTAACGACCGTGTTGACCCTTGCGAGCGCAGCAGTGGCCGCGACCGCCGACGGGGACACGGGGGCGGTGCGGTGACCTACGTTTTGTCAGTCAGGAGGGATTCGGGGTGACCGCACGGTTTTGGGACTCGGGCTTTTCTCCGAAGACATCTCGGGCGACTGGGGCCTCCAAGATCCCAAAACCGTACGGTGGCGGACCGTCAAGTGAGGTCTTTGGGGATTTCGAGATCACCGCACAACTTGGGACCGCCGAGAGCTGCACAGAAAATGATCACCAGCACCCCGCCCGGACGGACGATCTGCACCGAGTCAGACTGCTGGGGACTCGCGGGCTCCGCCAGAGAGTCGAGAAGAGCGACCAAGTGGGAGCGCGCCCAAGGCGAGGGGCGCAGCAACAACCCCAGTCTGGCCGATCTGCCTCTGCCTTGTCCCCTCAACCCCTCTGTTGAGGGACTCACTCCCCCTCCTTCCTCCTCGCTCGCCCCTTCCAGCCAGTCTTCCTCCTCGCTGCACTTGTTCTATTCGAGGTGGAGGGTGATGATGGCAAGGGCGAGCAATGCGAGGCGGAGGTGGAAGGGGGGGTGCAGCCCCGTGTGGCGCGGTCTTACAGGAAGACAGCCCGTTTCACTGTTTGGGTGCTCCCTCATCAAGGGCGTCAATATTCTAAGTTTGTTGAATCCTTCATTCGCTCGCAGCAAATGTGATGGAGGCTGGTTGGATGATAGGTCGGGAGCACCAGAGAGGAAGACCAGAACAATGGGGAGGGAAGCATCAAGTGGGGGCCAGCGGATACGTCGAAAAAGGAGAGGGGTCCAGAAATCCAGATATCAAGGCCCTGGCCATGGTGTCTCCCCCCGGTTCGAACGCGGTAGATGGCCACCACCACCAAGACTGGGAAAAAACGCGGGATTCGTTGTAACGCAGTTTGGTTCTTCTGGGCAACCACTGTCGCGGCCTCCGCCAACGACGACCGCCCCCCCCCCCCCTCGCGCCCAGGGGTACGCACGGGAAAAATTCGAACGAACGCGGTTTGGTGTATACAAAAGATATGGTGTTATCAAGGACCCGGCTTCTATACACCACCGCCAAGATGTGCGTTTCTTGTTGGGAACTCCCCGCATATGGTGCCCGTGCGCTGCGCTGCGCTCCTGTTTGTCACGGAGGCGTGCCGTCGCCTAGCACAGCCCCAACTCCGATAATTGTTGCCACTGTCGTTCTGTTGCAAGTGGTGGTCGTGTTTACGAAGAGACGTCGTGCGATCCCCCCCGCCTCCCCCTGGACGTCGCTGGACAGGCGCGATTGGGCTGCACTGCTGCACAAACTGATGAGCACCGATCAAATGTGGCCTCGACTCAGCCGCAATCGCAAGGCTGTGCAACGAACGTGTTTCAGCGGGCATGCCCAGACCTACACAGGGACACGGGACATCGAATCCCGCAATCGGAACAAACCACAAGCGGAAAGGATCGCGCCCGAATTGCCGCGGAATCGGACGAAGGGATAAATTGGACTGGCGGATCGGACTCGGTCCCTGCAGGCCGGGAAAGGACCTGGTGATTGCAAGATCGGATCAGATCGAGATCGGAATCGCAGCGTGGGGATCAGGTTGTATGGAATCAGATCGTGAACCATCAATCCTGCAGATGCTAAGGAAGGACCCCAATTGCGCGCCTAGTCCCATCAATCCAACGCCGGCTCCGAACACGCCGCTGGATGCCTCCGTGAAGGTTGCGGTGGACATCACGTCGCGTCCCTGCTCTGGGATCAAGCCATGGCTGGAAACAAATGACAGGCTCTGCATCACCACAGAGAAAGCAACCATCGTGCTACCATGAAGAACGCAAGATAAGGAATGCATGAACTTCTCTCTGGTCACGGCGAGCCCTGGCCCAGATCCCGCGGCCCGAACACCAGAGACCATCCTGAGCCCAGCGTGGTCGTTTGTCAGTTCAACCGTCTCGACTGTACAATCGGCGGGTGGCCCAGAGAAAGACGGCGCAAGATTGGAGATGCGAGCTGCAACCATAACCGCAAACACTGATTGGCCGTGCAAAGACAAGAGGCGGTGCGGAAGGATGCCCGTCACCGCCATGCTGCGTGAACATGGCCCTCCCACTCGTTCGCTGTTCCAGCTGGCGCCGAGAATTGCAACAGGCACGAAGCACGCTGCAAACCAAGGGCGAGGGGAAAGGGCGAGCTGCCGGAGGCATGCTGCAACAGGCAGAGGGCAGGCTCAGACAAAAGCACGACATGCAGGCCCGGAGCCCCCTCCATGGGACGCAACAGGACGACGAACGGCAAACGACTGGCAGCCCACAGGCAAGCGGCGGCCCATTCGGGCCACGGCACACGCGGCGCAGGCCGGAGCGCCTCACGCAGGTACTGGAGCACGCGGTCGAGGTTCCCCCTGCCGACGCCGACCTGGCGCGCACTCCCGGGGCTGCCTCCCGCCGGGCCTCGCTCCTCCAGGGCGACGATCGCCAGTGCCCACGCAGGAGCGGGGGAGGGAGGCGGGAGGGGGAGAGGGGGAGAGGGGGAGAGGGGGAGAGGGGGAGAGGGGGAGGGGGAGGGAGACGGAGGAAGGGAAAGGGGAAGGCAGGGGGGGACGGAAGAGAGAGGAAGACCATCAGGAAGGACGGAGAAGAAGGAGGGGAAGGGGAAGAGAGGGAGGGGAAAGAGAAGGACCAGGAGGAAAGACGGAAAGGGAGATGGAGAGGAGCAGGAGAGAGAGAGAGAGGGACGAGAGGGAGGAAGCACTGAACGGAGAACGGAGTCGCCAAATCCCGCTTGCCGATGGATGAGAAAGCGTGTGAGACTTGTGGCAGTCCCTCTGCCCTGGGCCCCCGTCCGTTGAAGTCCAAATCCTCGCAAGAGAAGAAGACTGCACATCCCAGCGCACCCCCAAATCCCATCTGAAGGCCACTGGGCACTGGGCCCCAGAGGCGCCCAGGATGGCCCAGGATGGTTCGAAGTGCGGGCCAATCTTACCCTAGCTGTCAACGGTTACTTGCAAGACCGCCGAGGATGGCCCAAACACGGCCCAAAAGGGCCCAAAAGAAGTCAAACCAGGAACCCAATGAGAGCCACACAGCCCCGACGGGTCCCAAAAGAGCCCCGAAGGGGGACCCGACGGCCCTTGACGAGGCTCCGAAACAGCTCCAAAGAGCCCTAAAAGAGCGATGGAAAATTACCCTGTGACGTACCCAACCCTTTCTAGACATGTAGCGTGTAGCGATTATACGCAGGACCACTCAGTGCTGACTGGCATTCTGAAGGGCCCGCAGTGCGCAAGAGCACCCAACAGTGATTTCAGAAGAGCGCATCAAGAAAAGAAACGGCAACTATACGAAATGGAAACACAGGGGCGTTGAAAGAAACGCGTATGACCTCCCTCCGAATGATCCACGTGGGACGTACCTCCGCTGGGCCTCGCAAGAGCCCACGAAAGTGTCGACAGTTGCGCAGATCGCAAGCCCTCCAGGGGGCGGCGAGGTCCCGAGGTGGTCCGCGTGGGACCCACCTCCGCTGAGCCTCCCAGGGGCCCACGAAAGTGGCGACAGTTGCGCAGATCGCAAGCCCCCCAGGGAGCGAGGTCCCGAGGTGGTCCGCGTGGGACGTACCTCCGCTGGGCCTCCCAGAAGCACACGAAAATGGCGGCACCTGCGCAGATCGCAAGCCCCCCAGGGGGCGGCGAGGTGCCGAAGTGGTCCGCGTGGGACGTACCTCCGCTGGGCCTCCCAGGAGCCCACGAAAGTGGCGACAATTGCGCAGATCGCAAGCTCCCCAGGCGGCGAGGTCCCGAGGTGGTCCGCGTGGGACGTACCTCCGCTGGGCCTCCCAGGAGCCCACGAAAGTGGCAACAATTGCGCCGATCGCAAGCCCCCCAGGGGGCGGCGAGGTCCCGAAGTGGTCCGCGTGGGACGTACCTCCGCTGGGCCTCCCAGGAGCCCACGAAAGTGGCGACAATTGCGAGGTCCCGAGGTGGTCCGCGTGGGACGTACCTCCGCTGGGCCTCCCAGGAGCACACGAAAATGGCGACAAGCCCCCCAGGGGGCGGCGAGGTCCCGAGGTGGTCCGCATGGGACATACCTCCGCTGGGCATCTCAGGAGCCCACGATAGTGGCGACAGGTGCGCAGATCGCAAGCCCCCCAGGGGGCGGCGAGGTCCCGAGGTGGTCCGCGTGGGACGTGCCTCCGCTGGGCCTGCCAGGAGGCTACGAAAGTTGCGACAACTGCGCAGATCGCAAGCCCCCCAGGGGGCGGCGAGGTCCCGAGATGGTCCGCGTGGGACGTGCCTCCGCTGGGCCTGCCAGGAGCCCACGAAAATGGCGAAAATGGCGCAGATCGCAGCCCCCAGGGCACCGCGAGGTCCCGAGGTGGTCCGCGTGGGACGTACCTCCGCTGGGCCTCCCAGGAGCCCACGAAAGTGGCGACAGTTGCGCAGATCGCAAGCCCCCCAGGGGGGAGCGAGGTCCCGAGGTGGTCCGCGTGGGACGTACCTCCGCTGGGCCTCCCAGGAACCAACGAAAGTGGCGACAACTGCGCAGATCGCAAGTCCCCCAGGGGGCGGCGAGGTCCCGAGGTGGTCCGCGTGGGACGTACCTCTGCTGGGCCTCACAGGAGACCACGAAAGTGGCGACAGTTGCGCAGATCGCAAGCCCCCCAGGGGGCGGCGAGGTCCCGAGGTGGTCCACGTGGGACGTACCTCTGCTGGACCTCCCAGGAGCCCACGAAAGTGGAAACAATTAGGCAGATCGCAAGCCCCCCAGGGGGCGGCGAGGTCCCGAGGTGGTCCGCGTGGGACGTACCTCCGCTGGGCCTCCCAGGAGCCCACGAAAGTGGCGACAGGTGCGCAGATCGCAGCCCCCAGGGGGCGGCGAGGTCCCGAGGTGGTCCGCGTGGGACGTGCCTCCGCTGGGCCTGCCAGGAGCCCACGAAAATGGCGACAACTGCGCAGATCGCAGTCCCCAGGGCACCGCGAGGTCCCGAGGTGGTCCGCGTGGGACGTACCTCCGCTGGGCCTCACAGGAGCCCACGAAAGTGGCGACAGGTGCGCAGATCGCAGCCCCCAGGGCGCGGCGAGGTCCCGAGGTGGTCCGCGTGGGACGTACCTCCGCTGGGCCTCCCAGGAGCCCACGAAAGTGGCGACAGTTGCGCAGATCGCAAGCCCCCCAGGGCACCGCGAGGTCCCGAGGTGGTCCGCGTGGGACGTACCTCCGTTGGGCCTCACCGGAGCCCACGAAAGTGGCGACAGTTGCGCAGATCGCAGCCCGACTGCACGAGAGAAGAGGAGAGGGGAACACAGGAAACAGGAGAGGGGGAGGGGAGGAGAGGGGAGGAGGAGGAAGAGGAGGAGGAGGAGGAGGAGGAGGAGGAGGAGGACGGGGCGACCACACTGCTCTTTTCAAAACGAGTACCCAACCATAGGAGGGTTGGGAAAAACATATCGCGACCGACGTTGAGACTCTCAGGACGCGGTGGAACAACCAGGGACAAAACAAATTAGCCTGACGAAGGACCCAACCAAATGCAATTGCGTGTACCGCATTGTGCGTACCGGCTTTGGTGGAGCTCCCTATGGGGCCACGAAACGCTGTCCTGGGTGGCGTTGACGCATGCGGCCTGTGCCACTGGAGCCTTCGGCGGAGCTCCCTATGGGGCCACGAAGCGCTGTACTGGGTGGCATTGACGCATGCGGCCTGTGCCACTGGAGCCTTCGGCGGAGCCCCCTATGGGGCCACGAAGCGCTGTCCTGGGTGGCGTTGACGCATGCGGCCTGTGCCACTGGAGCCTTCGGCGGAGCCCTCTATGGGGCCACAGGTGGCGTTGACGCATGCGGCCTCTGCCACTGGAGCCTTCGGCGGAGCCCCCTATGGGGCCACGAAGCGCTGTCCTGGAAGGGTGAAGCGCAGGGGGTGCCAAGGCGGATGGGCGGAGAGAGGGGGAGGAGGAGGAGAGGAGAGGAGAGGAGAGGAGAGGAGAGAAAGAGGAGGAGACGCGGGGCGCTCTCTCTTCAAAATTATGCTAACGGAGTTCCCACATAAAGATATTAACGGTCTCGTGGGACCCATGGGATACGACAACATCAACACGAAGGAGAAGCTGGAGAGGTGGGGCCTCCCTGGGGAGGTGGGAAGGGCACGAAACCATGCAAATAGTATGGGTTTCCGATACCCTCCTCGCTCAGGCGGGGCCTTCCTGGAGGGATGGGAGGGGCACGAAACCATGTAAATAATATAGGTTTCAGAAACCCTCCTCGCTCAGACGGGGCCTCCCTGGAGGGGCGTGAGGGGCACGAAACCATGTAAATAGTATGGGTTTCCGATACCCTCCTCGCTGAAGCGGGGCCCCCCTGGAGGGGTGGAAGAGGCACGAAACCATGTAAATAGTACAGGTTTCCGATACCCTCCTCGCTCAGACGGGGCCTCCCTAGAGGGGTGGGAGGGACTCGAAACCATGTAAATACGATGGGTTTCTGGTACCCTCCTCGCTCAGGCGGGGCCTCTCTGGAGGGGTTGGGTGGGAAGGGCCCGAAACCATGTAAATAGTATGGTTTTCCGATACCCTCCTCGCTCAGGCGGGGCCTCCCTGGAGGGGTGGGAGGGGCACGAAACCATGTAAATAGTATCGCTTTCCGATACCCTCCTCGCTCAGGCGGGGCCTCCCTGGAGGAGGTGGGAAGGGCACGAAACCATGTAAATAGTATGGGTTTCTGATGCCCTCCTCGCTCAGGCGGGGCCTCCCTGGAGAGGTGGGAAGGCCACGAAACCATGTAAATAGTATGGTTTTCCGATACCCTCCTCGCTCAGACGGGGCCTTCCTGGAGGGGCGTGAGGGGCACGAAACCATGTAAATAGTATGGGTGTCAGATACCTTCCACGCTGAGGCGGGGCCTCCCTGGAGAGGTGGGAAGGGCACGAAACCATGTAAATAGTATGGGTTTCTGATGCCCTCCTCGCTCAGGCGGGGCCTCCCTGGAGAGGTGGGAAGGGCACGAAACCATGTAAATAGTATGGTTTTCCGATACCCTCCTCGCTCAGACGGGGCCTTCCTGGAGAGGTGGGAGGGACTCGAAACCATGTAAATAGTATGGGTTTCCGATACCCTCCTCGCTCAGGCGGGGCCTCCCTGGAGGGGTGGGAAGGGCACAAAACCATGTAAATAATATGGTTGGCCGATGCCCTCCTCGCACAGGCGGGGCCTCCCTGGAGGGGTGGAAATGGTATTGATACGGGAGGCGGGAGGCGGGAGGGAGAAGGAGAGGATGTTCTGGGAAAACAAGAACCCCACTCAGGATGTGGGGAACAAGGACCTCACACCACAAGATGGTTGGGAATGAATTGCTTCTACTGCTTCTCACATCTGGTGAGCTTGGTAGCTCGCCAACCCACCGGGGCTCCTCATCGCGTGCGATAGTCGGCCCACCCAAACTTTCCCACGGGAGCCCAGTCAGGCCGATTTGGGAAGGGTGGCACCAAAAGTGCCAGCAGGGGCTGGGAGTGCCAGCGGAGGCCGAAGTGCTGGCGGACCCCTTCTCGACCCCGACGTGCGCCAAACTGTTCCAGGTGGCCCTCGAATGGTCCAAGATGGACTCAAGATGGCCCCGAGTCGGCCCACGATGGCTTCCTTCTTGAAGCCACCTTGGGCCGACTCCGGGCTGAGCCATCGATATCGAACGAATGGAAATCGAATCGGATGGGGTCAGCCAGAATCGACATCGAATCGAATCGATCAGGTCGAACTGGGCCCTGGAGGAGGATCAAGGGAGAGGGAGAACGGAAGCAGGAAAGAAGGAGCGAGGAGGGCGTCAGGCCGTCAGCGCCGCGGGCTGGAGAGCTCTCGTCGAGTCTCAGCGAATCTGGGGGAGAACGCGAGTCGAGTCTCAGCGTATCTCGTCGAGTCTCGCCGCGCTCCGACGTGCGCGCTATACGCTCAGACTGCCGTCGCTCCCCTCCAAGGGAAATGGTCCACTGATCTTCCAGGTGCCCCTGACTTCACTCGCTGTGGGAACAAAAACATGACGGCGGGTTTAGGAAAGTATTCGGCCTCCCAATGCCGCTGGGCCCCGGGACCGCCGAACAAGCAACGATTCAGGATGAAACACTGGCACATGGGAAAAGGTCCAGACCTCCAGGAGTCCGCGCTGTAAAAAAACAAAGACGGCGTCGGAGTTCTGTGTACCAGGAAGCTAGGCAAACACCTGGCCGGATCCACGTGAGAAGCCCGCGGAAGTCACGCGCGGTGGACACATGCGGGGTCCCCGCGTGCCTGGCCGTAGAAAAGCCAAATGTTGGAACGACATGTCCAGCCCTCGCCCGGGCTGGCTGCGTGATGTGTATGCAGCTCCTTGGTAGCGAAGCGCTCCGTTTATCTGACCCCGCTCGCTCGCAAAAGCTATGGACACCTTTTCTTCTGTCGGCTAAGCTGGCTTCCCCCAAGCTCAAGCAAGGCACTTCAAGTTCATAACCCACACTCTACTGGGATCCATGCATGGAGTAGCGAAAGCTGACCATGGGAGTCCATGTGTCCTCACTGTCTGCTAAGCTTCACCCCAGCCTACAGGTGCACGTTGATCCTGCTCTGTGCACCCGCACGATGGAAAATGACAATCTCCTGGTGTTGGCATAATGGAATCGTGGCAAATTCAATTTCGGTGACTCTCCTTCTAATGCTCCCTCCCATTTTCCCATAGCGTGTGTAATCGCGACAATGACGACGATTCCGTGCTTCTAAAATCTCAAATTGAATGGGCTTGCACTGCTGAGACGGATTGGCCCGCGCGCTCTCCACCAAACAATCGCTCTCTAAACGCCCGCCACCTTCTCCAGGTCGGCCTGCGACAAGATCTCCCGGTACGCTGCTCTCACGGCGGCTCCCTTCGAGCGTCAGGCAATCACAAGAGAAAATCAAGGCGTGATCGAGATCAATCGGCCCTCCTAGCCCCTCTCGTTCTCCCCACTTTCCTGCCACCAAGTCTCCCCTCTCCTGGCTTCATTCCTGACAGTCCGCCACCGTGGCGCAGGCACTAAGTGTCATATCCGCAGGCCCCGATACCCCAGCTTCCCAGAACTTCCAGTCGCCGTCGCGCCGAGTGGGCAAGTGAGAGGGGGCAGGCCTTCTCAGGAAGCGGTGAAGCTTCTCACGAGCCCGCCTGCCTTCTGAGAAGCCCCCTGCCTCCCCGCAGAAGGCCGAGAAAACTTCTCAGAAGACCAGGAGCCGTCTGATCCTTCTGGGAGGCCCGCGCACCTCTCAGGTCCAGGGAATACTGCCTGACTTTCTTCGAGGCCATCGGGGGCGTGGCTGCGAGGCCAACATGCCTTCAAGATGGCCCCACGGGCCCGTCCTGGAATCATGTTCGGGGCCTCTTTGGCCATCTCGGGTCCCTTGGGCCGCCCCACGAGGTCAAAATCGCGACCACATCAAAAACCACGAACTTGTGTGTGTGTGTGTGTCTGCTTGGCTGGCATCATGACCCTCTCAGCCTTCACAGCATCCAAGCGTCCCAAGCGGCTTCCAAGATCGCTCCAAGACGGCCCGAAACTCTCAAGACAGGCTCAGGAGATCTCGAAGACGGCCCCGATAAGGGCCCTCAAACCACGCCACCGCCAGACCGCTGGGAGCCTCTCCTGGAGCCCAAACACCCTACATCGGCACGCCCGAAATTGGCGCGAACAAGAATGAGCCCTGCGCGCCACACTCGACAGCGGCCGCTGCTGGGCAACAGGCTGTTTGCCTCAAACTGACACCGTCCGCTGCGACGCCGACAGCGAGTCTTTAGGCACCCATATGTGAACACTACCCCTGCAGGTCAGATGGTTGAAACGCGGGCTGGGACTCAAAATTCGGAGGATGCCTGCAACAAAATGAAAACCAACGGGGATGTCCGATACCCCAGCGTCCTCTTGACACGCACGGGTAGGATCCGCGATTGGTCGCAAATACCCTTCAAAAAGAAACAAGGACTGCTGTCGGTCTTCGTGCCCAACTGTTCCGTACCCAGTTCGGCGGTGCCGACCAGAGGCCCAGCCCCCCCCCCCCTTTAGGGCCTCAGAGCGTGGGCACAAAGAAAGGCCTACAGTTCCGAAGATAGCAGGAGGCACCCAATAGAGCCCACGCGGGCCCCAAGCCAGCCCTTCACTCTGGACCTCATGCTCCCCCCGTCCTCCGAACAGCATATGAAAAAAAGTGTATTCAATTACCTCCGAGCGAATTGTCCTTCGAACAGTGGCCACAACCGCCTCGGGTTTCGACAAGGCAGGCGATATTACACCAAAATTCGGGATCCAAAGGACGGGTACATGCAACAAGAATGGAACGGAAGGCCACCAACACGTGCTCTTCGACAAGACGCCACAAACTGCCTCTGCGAATCCCTCACCACTTCCCTAACCTCAAGACGCAGACGTCATGGCATGCCCCAGCCGCACCCACAAAGATGGTCTTCCCCCGTTTCCCTCCCTCGTCCTCGCTCGTCATCCCCGTGCACGTGCCTATCGCCAGCCGAAAGCGGTGCAGAATAAGAACTCTGCCATCTGCCCTGCCATGGTCACATGGTCCTCCATACCGCGCCAATACTAGGGTCTCTTGGGGGAATAAGACAAATCCTACCAGCCCATTAGCAACCCCCTCTCTTCCACTCTCCGAGGAGGGATTGAAAATTACTCCCTATTAACAAACATCCGATCCCCCACCCGACCAGCAGCCAATCCGGACCCATGCCGCCCCTCACCCCCACCATCTCAGTCACAATTGTTCTGGTGAGAGACCAAACTAGATGCAGCTGTGAGAATCGCGAGGCAAGTGAGATGGAGGAAAGGGGCCAACAAAAGGATTGCGGCGTCCAAATGCCCCCCTGCCCTGGGCCCCCTGCCCTGGTCCTTCCGGTCGAACTCCCAATGGGGCCACGAAACGTGTGAAGAGTGCGCCGAATCGGGTGCGGGAGCGCCATGCGGACCTTCCCGCTGGGGCCTTCGGCGGAGCTTACCATGGGGCCACGAGCAGTGTGAGGGGTTTGCAGAATCGGGTGAAAGTGCGACATGCGGACCCTACCGCTGGGGCTTTGGTGGAACTCCCCGTGGGGCAACGAAACGTGTGCAGCGCCCCGGACTTGGCAACGCGCCACCATGCGGACCGTGACGCTTGGGTCTGCGCTGGAACTTCCGATGGGACCACGAAGCGTGTGGTGTGTGTGTGTGTGCGTGTGCGTGTGTGTGTGTGTGTGTGCCGAATCGGGCGCAGGTACGCCATACGGACCCTGCCGCTGGGGCCTTCGGTGGAACTCCCACGGAACGAATGAAAGGTGTACCGAATCGGATGCGGGTACGCCGTGCGGACCTTGACGCTGGGGCCTGGGGTGGAGCTCCCCATGGGACCACGAAGCGTGTGAGGGGTGTGTCTACACAGATGCGGGCACGCCATGCGGACTGCGCCACTGGGGCATCCTTTGGAGCTCCTTCTTGGGTCACGAAACATGTGAAGGATGTGCCGAATGGGGCGCGGGTACGCCATGCGGACCCTGCCCTTGGGGCCTTCGGTGGAGCTCGCTGTGATGGGGCCACGAAGCGTGTGAGGGGTGTGCCGCACTGAATGAAGGTTCGCCACGCCGACAGTGCCATTGGGGCCTATGGTGAAGCCTCCTTTGGGCCTCGGAACATGCGAGGGTGTGCCGAATCGGGCGCGGGTGCGCAATGCGGACTGTGCCGCGGGTCATCGGGTGGAACTCCAAACGGGGCGACAAAAGGTGCGACTGCGCCGAATCCGGCGCGGGTGCGCCATACGGACTGTGCCGCTGGGGCCTGCGGCGGAGCCCCCTTTTTATGGGACCACACAACGTGCGACGGGGTCACACACAAGGGTATGCTGAGAACGACGATGATGATGACTACGACGATGATGGTACTGGTGATGAAGATGATGACGAAGAGGGATATAAAGCTGAAGATGACTGTGCTGTTGATGATGTTGCGGTTGTTGTTGATGACGATGTTGATGATGGTTATGATGAGTATTATGATGATGGTGATATGATGAGGTTGATGATGATGACCAACGCGGCTGAAAGGGGACAGGAGCTCCCTGCTCGCACTGGCCCTGGGCCCGAGGCGTTTCCCCCTGGCCCTGCGCAGGCAAAGTTCGGGCGCGTGAGCCTCGGCGCACAACGCAAATTCCCTCGGGCGCCCCGCGCTGTCCACCGCCTCGGCCGAACCAGACGATAGACAGATCCAAGCAAAAGGGAGACTCAGCGCGCACGGCACACGCTCTCGGGTCGCCCCCCACGTCGAGATAGACGCGCAGGGCCGAGGCGCGCCAAGCGCGCCAAGCTACAATGAGCTGGACGGCGTGCAAGCACGCCGGGAAGAGGGAAGCGCGTGTCTGCACCTGTCCATCGGCATCGCAACTTGCACCAGGCCGCGACAGGACTGTTGCATGGCCCATGGCGGCGGAACGCGCCAGACAGAAAACGAGCCAGGCTCAAGACGGCTGCCGCTCGAATCCCGCCCGCATCCTGCAACGCGGGCCGCCGAGCAGAAGAAGGTGCGCCAGGCGCCGGCAGTGCAACTCCTCAGAGGCCGCAGGCCCAGCGCAGAGGGTTTTGCATTGCCAGACGAGCGGGAAATATGAAAGGGCGCACGCGCCAGAAAGACTGCGAGCATGCCCGAGAGGCTTGCCCCGCAACTCGCACCGTGCATTCCGTGCGCACGAAAGGACAGCACCTCCCCGCCAGCTCGCAACTGGCCCCTAAGGCCGGGCCCAAAATGGAAATGTTGCAAGCCGCTGGCATCGGAGCCCGATCCCACGTGCCGGATGCCTACGCGCCTGGTTCAGCTCCCGCATAGACACCAGCGCGGGCCGCTAACGCCAAAGAGCGAGCAGGCGCACCACACCTCACCTGCAGCAGCGCAACTCGTCCCAACGGCTCCTGGCCAAACTGGACTGACTGCATTGCCGCAGTATCGGAACCCGATCCCGAGTGTAGGCAAACCAACAACCCTGGTTCGCGAGCGCTGGAATATTGGCGAGCATGCGCGAGAAGCCTGCTTAAGCGACTCGCACAGCGCGATGCCGTGCAATCACTAGGACAGCGCATAGCTGGCGGAGTGGCAGGCTGAGCACCCCGCGCGAACAATGCGCAGGACACGCCTGACCACCAGCAACGCAACTTGTCCCCCGAATGCACCTGGCCAACAGGACAGCTGCAATGACGACGGTATCGGGCACGATCCCGAGCGCTGGAGAATCCTACGCCCTTTGTCAGGCCCGAACTGATAACTGAACTTACACGGCTGAAACTGATCCTCCAACCGCCTGCGCATGCGGCGCAGGGGCCCTGGATCGCCGATGTTGCCGCTGCCTGCAGGCTGGAGCCCCTGCTTCAGACGGCCGAGCACTGCCTGCTGCCTCTCGTCATTCGGGGCCTTCGGGCACTCCTTCGCGAGGCCCGCCATCCTCCCGCTCTGCGTCCAGTAGCCGCGCTTGATACAGAAGAGATGGTTGCCCGCGCGCCAGAAATCGCGGGGATCATGCGCGTCGATCCCACATCGTGGCGGCAGCGCTGACGGGGGTGGCGGCGGCGGCTGAGCCACAGGCTGTTCCGCAGGCTGGGCCGCAAACTGCCGCCGCGTCGCGGCCGCGGTGGAAAGGGGGCCCGCCCCCGCCAGCTGGCGCACCCACTCCGCATCCGAGATCGTCGCCTGGCGCCGCTGAGCCCTGCGATCCACTGGCCTGTCTGGAGCGCAGAGCGGCGCCTGCCGTCAGGAGCACCGCCGGCGCTGACACCGCGCCCAAGGTGCCATTGGTGTCTGAAGAGAAGAAACCCACGATGGCATCGCCGCGGCCTGCGCGCTCCAGGCATGCCCGCGCCGCGTCGCCGCCCACG